GTAAACCAACAGAAATTCAATGCAAAGAACCTCATAGTTCTGCTGAGATGCATTACCAATGTGATGGGAGCTTTGCTGTGTCTCAACCCCTCACTGACTGGGCAATAATTCCCTGGTAAAATGCACTATCTCCATCTGACTGAACACCAGCGGTGTTCTCACTTCCCCTCCTTCAGTCAGCCCAGCTCAGGAAGGGTTGAACTGTTCAGCAGTAAAACTAAGAAAGCTTCTGGGGTGGCTTGCAATTATAGCACCATGTTAGGGTCTTATTTTTGGTAATACTATTCAAAGCACACTCACAGTAGCATAATAAAAATTGATATTAATTCAGTAATAAGAAGTGAGACCTGGAGGGATTAATACCCAGATGAGAAGTGTGACAGCATGAAGTCAGCCTGAGGCCACAACCACCCCAGCTACTCATTTTGGGAGGAAATACCTCATGTGATCATTATTGCTGTTAGAATCTGTTTGGAATTTTATTCAGAAGGAAAACAAACATCTTTCTCACATGGCTTTAAATTCCCCAAGTGCTACCAAAATGAATTATTTGATTACCACCACAGCTCTTAGATTTCTTCTGGAAAATTTATCCTCAGAAAGGGACGCCATCCTTCTCTCTCTATCTTCCTTCTGTACACACATCAACCTCCAATAAGCTTTTATAACCATGCTGGGTTTGGGGTTAAATGCACGACATTTTCATTCTATGAGAGACATAATGAAAGGAGGGATGGCTAAGTACTTGAGCTGGGTTTCACTCCAGATACTAAGAAAAGCAAACACTCATGCCAACAAATATAAAGCCTCACAACTTGAGAAAATAATACCTTCTTGAACCTGAAGGTGCAGCAATCACACATTTGTCCACCTCTTGGAACTGGAGCTGACTAGAACAGGTCACAGAAATTGCATCACAACACAGCTAATGATGCTTAAATGGCTTAAGGAAAAACAATTGAATTGTCCCTTTAAAGGTTAATTGTAGACCTGCCAGCTGAGTGACCTACATTTGCCTGGTCAAAGCCATCTGTGAGAGGGGGCAAAAGAAATACTTTCAGAAAGGAAATTCTGGTTTGACATTAAAAGATAGACTCTTCCTTTCCATTGCTCACGGGCCTAGAAAAGCAGACTGACCCTATCCAGGGTACACAGCAGCACAGCAGACTTGCACGTCAGCTGCTGGCAGCACAATAAAGACCACAGAGCTACAGCCATGTGAGAAGTCGATGATTTTTGGATTATTTCCTCAGTGCAAATCTTTCCTCTCATTCCTTTTCCAAATACAAAAATAAAAGCTTTAGGGAAGCATTTTCCTTGTTAATATATTTCTTTAAAATTGCACTGTTCATGCAAGAATGCTTTCGTTATTTTATTATTATGGTGATAACTCTATTTTTTTTCTTTCTGCTGCCAAGAACCAGATACAAGGTGCACATCATGCTTACAGATGTGGACTCAGAAGTTTTGCCACTCCACCACGAAAGCCATTTGCTTCTCAACAGAGAGAGAGAAGGTGGCAGCTGTAAGCATCCTACAATTTATATGCAATTGTGGTTCTGTCTTCTCCATCCCCAAAACAGACAATAAGAAGTATTAAAACCTAGTCCATCGATGATATTTCCTTTCAAGATGTGTTTTCTCTCTTTAAGCATGTTATCCTTTTGCATGCCCTTATTACTTTTCCATGTGTGCCTCTCTATAAAGATATCTAAATGCTTCGATTTTTTTTGTCTAAATGCTGTGATATTTTTCACTATCTCCTCATTCCTGTTTGCTCCTATTGTATGGTACGCCCCATGCATTTTAGCCAGGTGCAAAACAGAAAAAAAAAAGGCTGTGCTAATAGGAACTCAACTCTTCAAGGCTGGGAAATGCTCCCTGTCTTTGCCAGACATCACAGACAACCATCAGCTTTTAGAGTTTCCATAATCCTTGCAGTGACTGACCATCTTTTCTGATGCACTGAAACTTTTTAAACTGGGCTTCAAATTGTAGCTACCTCAAATCTCTCTCTCCCTGAGCTTCAAGTGCAGCCCTGGTTCCCTAATGCCTAACTGAACTAACTTTCAAAAGCTGAAAATGTGAATATCCTCTTCAAAGACAAGGTGTATCAAATTTTATGATATCTAAATCATATTCTGAATTTTGATTAAAAAAAGTTGAGCAGTTCTTTGTCAGCTGCCTGAAAGCAGGCAGAGAACTTTTCCACTTGCTGCTCAGTGATACAAACATATTGGGCTGCTGGAGAGGATTGTTGTTGCTGTCAAACCTATTTGCCTTGGAATCCATCCAGTTTCATTCTACCATGTTATCAACGTGAGCTTAATCTCAGTCACAAATGTCCATTCCTCTTTTATTGCTTTATAGAAGTCTGCTAAAATTACAGCTTTTCTATAAAGTCCAGCACAGTAAATAGAAATACCCCAAAAAGTTTCCACTGACTGTACAATTTGTGAGAACGGAGGTGTTATTTTTTTAATAGCCTGACATGAATTTCCAGGATCATCCATTTAGTGAACACTGAACACTGTTCTACAGTATAAAAATCATGTCTAGAGTAACTTACATTTTGAAATCCATTTTCCATCTATTTGATAGGAACACTAATCTCCTTTGTAAAGAAAGTTTTTACTATGGATTTTGCAAATTAAGGAAAACTATTAGGTTTGTCATTCTAATAATTCCATTTCCTACTAACATTTTTTGTTCTCATTCTGTTTTTACAGTCACCACCAAAAAATCTGAAAGTTATGCAATAAGACAGGCTTTAAAGCCACCAGGGACCTGCTAACACAAGATGGAAACAACTTATTATGCAAGTAAGATTAAAACACTGACCTTGAGTCCACAGTCTTTTGCCAAGGGGCAGTGTGTGTGGAGGGGGTGGAAAATCAACTGTGGTACAGAAGCTTGCACTGTGCTTAGGAAAGCACAAGAATTTTCAGAAGCAAAGGCCTCCATCATATAAGAAAGTGGAGACACAACAGATATTACAATCATTTTAATATTTCACAGGCAAGGCATCTATTAGGAAATAACACAGCTTCACTTCTGCACACAGTCAGTATCATTTTCTGCTCATCACCCTCTCACATTGCAGCCAATCCTGCAGGGATTGTTCCAAACCATCCCAGTCTCTGCTGGCCTGCAGAGGCCACCCCAGCAGCAAGGGCCAGCCTGTGGGGATGGGAGCCCAGCTGTGCCAGCAGCCTGGCAGCAGAGCTGCTGCAGGGGCCAGGCCAGCTGGGATTCCCTTGGACACAGAGGGTGCCAAGGGCTGGAGCAAACAGGCTCCAGATGCCTTTGTGCTCACGGTGCAAGGCCAGGCTCTAGGATTAGCAGTGACCCAGCTATGATCCACAACCTGGGGCTGTCACGCTGCACAGCCCGGAACAGAGGTGCTTTATAGGAAATTATGAAGTAGGAAAACACAAGAAAGAAAATATGACTTTTGCCTCAATGCAGTCATGTTAACACTCCTTGTGCCTGTCTCTGGCAGTCCCTGCATTTCCCTAAGATCATCAGTGCCACGCTGGATTTATATCAACAGGCCCAGGGCATCATTTGCACGGGTTTGATAGACAAAGCAGTGACAAAGGAAATGAGCAACACCTGGGAAGATCAGCATCTGAACAGCTGGTTCTGCTGCTTGAAAGTTATGCTTCGCTGAGGCAAACAAGAGGCTAACAGGTTAATTCTACTTTCAACTATTCTTTTAGATGGAGAGAGGTTCTTGCAGGGGCTGAGAATGTCTCTATCAGCAGCAACAGAGTTCTACTGTCTTACTGCAGTCAGGCTGGAATACTGCCTCAAGGTAACACTCTTTTTTATGTTGTTTGGGGCAGCAATATGGCTTTAAAGAGGTAATTACAGCTGACTGCATCACTAGGAATCTTAAAGAAATAGATGATATGAAGGAAAGTTTCTTCGGTTATGGCTTTTCGGTGCTTTTTGTTTGGTTTGGGTGGGATTTTTTGTTAACTACCCCAAAAAAACTTCTCTTCTTGCATCGCCCAGAAGAGAGCTGAGAGGGAAAGAACCAGAGAACTGCTGGAATACACATTCAGAGGAAAGACAGACAGAATAGAGACATTTCAGGAGCACTCCATCCCAGGGGATCTCCATGGCTGTTCTGCTCAGCTTCCAAACTGGAAACACATCTATTTTCCTTTCATACGTACATTAAAAAGCTCTGATAGATTGGTATCTAAGAAGATAAAAAAGCGTTTCCTCAGAAATGGGAGAATTCATTGGAATTACTTGCAACAGCACAGTTCCACTCAGCCTTAAAGACTGAGCAACTGTTATTACAAAATTAATATAAACCTATACAGTGTTTAAAATATTCCGTGTATTAAATAATTTTGTTTGTTTCTTCAAACAGGAAATTTTGCTAAAAGAGGTGGTAGAAAGAAAAAAAGTGAAAGAAAAAAAGTAAAAGAAAAGAAAATAAAAAGGTAATAAATAGAAATTCTTTGGAAAATACAAAACAAACCTAGAGTTCTGAGTAGGAAAAAAGTGGACAGACAGTTGGTCATCCTTTATGAAAAAAAGGTTAATCTTTTTTTCAACCAATTAAAATCAGACTGGCTGTGGAAGTTAAGAATACAATTATAGAGCTATTATTTGCTCTGATTTTTATTATTATGGTGAAGATGGAAATGTCAAATGAGAGTGTGGCAGAAAAAGGAAAAATCTCTCAAAAAATCATAACACAAAGGGGGAATAAGATAAAGGGGAATGAGATAATCTGCTTACTACAATTATAGAAGAATTACATGTGTCCTTGGGTATTATCATATCTACAGTCATATATATTTCTCATCATATAGTCACGAGGGAGGACAGCCTTCCACAGAAGATGGTAAATGCTGCAAAAATCAGTCTCAATCTTTAATAACTTTACCGTAACTATTAAAAAATATCAACTCTAATCTGCCATGCCATTCTGAAAAAACATCATTCCCACTGGGAATGCCATGTGTGCACAGACGCACCTCTTTTCCGCCTGGGCGCTGTGCCGCTGGTTCTGGGAATGCTGCTGGTTCTGGGAGTGCCGGCTGCCCCTCGGGGTCCCCCTGCCCCCGTGGCTGCTGTTCCGGCCCCCGGCAGGGGCAGGGGCACGAAGCCCAGCCCAAAGCTGCTCCTCGTTCCTGTGGAGCGGCACGGATGTGCGGATGGCAGAAATGACGTGGCCGGGATAGGCAGAGAGCGAGTCCTCGTGGTGGGAGCTGTGGTGAGTCCTGTCCGAGGCCGGGAACTGCCGCCCCGGGCGCCGGTACCCCCGATCCCGATCCCGGTAATAGGCGGGGAGGCAGGGCCGCGTCTGCTCCATCACACCTCCACTGCAGCTCCGGGAGCAGGCAGACCAGGGGCCCCAGTTGCCCCACATGCCTGGGATTCCCGCACCGCTGTCCTCAGACGCATCTCCTTGCTCTTCTATCCTCTGGGGAACCTGCAGACACAACACATGGACTTAGGAATTAGAATTCACGCTGTAACACGAGGAGAGCACTAATACCCTTGTCTAGCCGTTCACTCTGCAGTCCTAAGTGCAGTGGAATGACATAGGAAGTAACTTTTCCCATTCCCAGCCTGCCAGAGGACGGCCTGTCCTGCCAGTATAGGAGAAGGTTTCCTACAGCCATCAACCATTCAGACAAAAAGTTTGGGCAGGTCTTTTTTTTTGGACTATCTGGATAGAAATAGTTTTTCTTTAGTTCTCAGCAATGGAAAGCATTGAGTGATGCAAAGCTTAGAAATGTGGAGACTGAAAACTATTGTCATAATAGCAAAAGCAGGAAATAAGGTTGGTTTTGGTGATGAAATAGGGTCAACAGACAGTGGCTGCTCTCTCCCACTGTGATGCCTCCAACAATGGAGATTGCTAGTGGTTGCAAGACTATTTCAGGAACTCCCATCTAATGTGGAACTTTTTATGAAAGCAATAATGTAAGAGGACAGGCTGATTTCCAACCAACCAAAAATGCTCCTCTAGTTAACTCTGACATTACCACTTTTCCCCCGGTCTCCATATTATCACTTCAAGAGAAAGAGCTATTCAAGATGACCCACCAAATCCTACATTCACAGAAACTCCCATCAAACTCAATAAAAGATAGGACAAATTGTTGGTCTCTGGTGTTCAGTGCCACTTAGTCCATTCAGAAGCACAAGGAAAGTGAAAGAATGAACCTCAAAGAGAGGGGTCCTCTTTTGAAGGAAGCTGGGGAGGATTAGGAAGGACAGGGTCTGTTACCTCGAGGAAAGTTAACCCTTCAAGCTGTGGCCAAATATTTCAACATCCTGACCTTGTGGTTGGAAAAGTATCAGCGCAGCTAAGAAGGTACAACTACCCATCTCCATCTCCCTGTGGATTTGTGTCCCAAAGTTTACCCGTTCTCAGAGCTAGATATAGTCAGGATTTCTCAGAGTTTGCACTGGGCAAAGAACTCAACTTTGTCACACAGAAATTAGATGTATTTTCATTTGTTTCCCTTGACCAACTGGCTGAATCACAAGTTTTCAAAGCAGGTTTCCAATGTCTGTTTCTCACAATTATTAATATGCAGAACATCCTTTTGAGCATCCTTTAAATAGTTTATTTATATTCTGAACAACCTTTGTACCAACAAGCACGCACACACATCAATTCATTTGGGAGACAAAAAAAATGCACTGTCCACAAACAAATGCTTGCCATACCTCTCCAGGGCTATTCCAGTGTGTAGCTACCTCAAAATGAGCTTTGTCTGCCTGTATGCCACTTCTGCCCCCTTCAAAGGACCAGAACCTAAGCATGTAACTTGCAGCAATAATTGTATAATAGCAAAAGATTAACATCTACACACTTTGCCTCCAGTCACGGATTCCACGTGCGGTTGGTAGCTGAGCTGCACCCCACCTATGGCAGGGAGCTCCCATTCCTCACCCCACCTATGGCAGGGAGCTCCCATTCCTCACCCCACCTATGGCAGGGAGCTCCCATTCCTCATCCCAGGGCTGGGAACACGGCAGGCTGGGGGGGAATGTGGTTTGCAAACACGGGTTGGCTTGAGTGTTACAATACAACAAGCCAAGCCAGCCCAGGGTTTGTGGTGCTGATGTGTAACAGGCACTTGTGGTCTGCATAATCTGAAACACTGCCCTGCTCTGAGGCTGCTCTCACACTTTCATCACCAACCACAGAAGAAACTGCATTTAATTATAACTTCTGAATAACAAAAAACATCTGCATTAGTGTGATATGTTACCCATTTCTCCCATGTAATTTGAAAACAGGAGCAGATGTCTCTGTATTTAATACGTCTTTTTTTCCTGTGGGTACCCCATTTGGCATCAACCTTTATAATCCAATAGCCTGTACAACCTAATACTGCACAATGTCAAAATTATGAATAACATGCAACAAGGTCTTGATTTCTGGCTGCTACATTTGCTCTTATATCCAGTAACAGAACACCACTGGCTTACAATCTGACCAACTAAACAAGCTATTCTTCAGTTTGCGATTTTTTACAGTAAATATTCACTGCTCATACTTACACTGCACATTAACGTGGTTCTCCCTCAGATACACACAGGAACACTATCTGGTCTGAACCCACTCGGAAGCAAAATTTACTTATTATAAAACCAGCAGTCCTTTGTAATCAAACAAATTATGTTTCACTTGTTTAGACTACTTCTTAATCATTTCTATAATGGTTCAGTACCTGTTTTTTTAAAATGCCAAAGACACTCATGCAGGGAACAACTAAAAACCATTAGTCTGTAAACAACTCAAGTTACCACTAACATAAGAAATATATCATTATACAGAAACAGAAAGTGATATAACAGTGATAAGTGTCAACTTGTTGCAGAGAGAACTTTCTGGCTGCCAAACTTCACTGCAGCAAGAATTGGTTCAGATAAAATGATACTTTATATGACTGAAGGCAATCTAAAGTAATTTCACACCCCTTAATCTTCACAGTAAAAGAGGTCTCGACACAGTACAAAAAGGTTTAATCTAGCTAATTATGTAAGAACATAACAATAAAACTAATAAAAAAAGTAATATTATAATGTCTTGTACTGATGTACAAACTCATCAGTACTACTTAGCTATAAGATGACGAAATTCTGAGATGGGAATTTTTGGTAGCAAATCAGGTTATGCACTTTTATTTTTAATGAAGGTCCCTGTTTTCTTACTTTAAGATGTGGGCTACAGATGAATCTTTAGAGGACATGACGTGATTAATGGTATAATCTACACAGTGAATCTACTATGAAATCTGAATGAATTGAAGCTGCTCGGATTTAGGAATGGAAAACAGAGAGGACAATAATGAGTCTTCCAAACAGTTAACATAAATAAATACAAAGAGCTGTTCCTTTTCTCTTTGCAGCAAACTGTTCTTGTCTGTGGTCAACACACAACAGTGGACTTAAAGTTTACCAAAGGTGACCTAAATTAGTCAGTAAGGAAAACTACTTCAGCAGAAAGGCAAACAAAGCAGGGGAACAGATTGCCTGAGGAGATCCTGGCAGCACCGTGGCCAATCCCAAAGCTCTGCCAGGCAAAGCCCTTCCACAGGACTCACAGGCCACTTCCCTTCCTTTGCTCCTGGGATTTCCAAGTTACTTTGTAGCCAGAAACAAATTCCAACACAGCCCTACGATACAGCCAAGAAATTCCAGGTAGCTACAGGAGACAGGTCAAGTATCTCAGAACATCTCAGAAACACCAGATATTCAGAGACTCCTGACACTGAGTCCCTCTTCCTCTTGCTTTAAAAACTACCCATTACAGGCACACTTTCTGAAGGGAAGAGTTTGAGCCTGCACTGGGGAACAAGTGAAACACAAACTGAACTTCTCTTGCCAAGTTAACTAATTTCTTTAATAGAATCACATAGCCTGCAAAAAGGGAGAGATAACTAACCCATTTAATCTACTTTCCCATACTTCATGATTGATCCCTTCTCCAGGTGACCTATTAATATTTATTCTAACTATAAATGCACCATCAAAAAGATTTCTATCTACTGCAAATTAATCAACAACCAAACATTTTGCTCTACAAACTCAACTTATTTTCCCCCTTAGTTTCCCCTTTCCTTTCTTCCCTGTATACATGACAGTTATTTGGCAGAACACGGTTTGTAAGTGGAAGCAACACATTTCACTATGTGCAGCTGTACAATAAACAATGCAAAGAAAAGTAAGAGAAGCTTTCAGGTGTGCAAGTGCTTGCAATTCCTACACCTGCACTAACTCCTATTAACCTCCTGTCAAAAATTCTTTATAAGGATTGTTATGCACCAAGTATCTTCCAGTCTGCCACCTTTCCAACAGTAAGTGGCAAACTGAATCAAGGCAGGATTTTTAGCAGGGTAGTTGCAGGGTCACCCCTTCCTTTACACATCAGCTCTGCATCCTCTTCTGGTTTTCCCCCAGACTTCTTGTATTTTGCTACTTTTCCACACAGGAGCTGCATTACATCCAGATTTTATTCTAAGAGTTTGTTGGGTTTTTTTTTTTGCAAAAACATACTGAATTAAACATGCTACCAGTAGGTTGACGTAGAGGACATTTTAAATAGAAAACCAGTTTATCTTGAATTCCTGTAATTCAGCACTCACTCTGATCCTGAATCCAAAATTGCAGCAAAAATTAAAAGAACACTAACTGTAGAAATGCAGTGCAAATTTCTAATACTGCCTCTGTCAGAATTCAGAAACAGGATCCACATCCTGGGATTTCAGCAGCAGTTGTTGTAACCATACTATGCAAGAATGTCCCTGAAGAGGAAACTTGAACTTTAAGCCACAATTATTTAAAACTCAAGTTGTTGTGCAGGACCACAGTGGCAGACACTGCAGTACTGACCTGACAAACACTAATTTTAAATACTGTAGGATACTTCATCCATTAAACCACAGCTTACATACAAATTAACTGTTCAGAAAAGCAGGGGGGACAAGTGGATGAATCAGAGGCCCATCTACGGTACAGTACAGAACAGTGCTATGTTTCTGACTGTGTGGAAGAAGCAAAGGTTTAGGGAACAGTGTAAGAACCAGGGCACATTCAGAGACATCCACAGACCCTCTGCTTCCAGCTAATTAGTAATTTCAGGGCTTCCTTCTGCTAAACACCATATTGCAGTTCTTTTTCATAACCACCACTGGACCCATTCTGCATGAAACAATTAATACCCTTTTTAGCGTATTTTTAATCTTGGCTTCCAAAAAATTGTGCATTTTAAATTGAAAAAGTGGTTTTCTTACCTCTGGTTATACCTGCAGCCTGACAATTTCGTTTTGTCTCCCAAATTATTTTCTTGGTGATAAATGAAAAACGATCATTCTGTATTCTCCTCCACCACACCATGATGTTTGATTTGCAATTGCTAACACAACCCACTTCCAGGATCTCTTTTTGGAATTCAGCAGTCCTAATCTG